TATTTCGAAACAGGAATCTTAATGGAGTAATAGCTGAACATACAGGGTGGACCAGTGGGTAATGATTGAAAAACAATCTAATAGATGGCTCTAGCTTCGAGCAGTTGAGACCAAACTTGGTGCGCATGATCATTAGAGCGGGCACTTGTAAATATGTGTGTTTCGTTCGCGAGCGGTGCGTTTAAGTGTGTTGTTCACTTGTGATTGTCAAAAGCGAAAATGAAAAATATTCAACAGATATTCGAATGTTTATTGTGCTCGAAATGGCCAAATGCCATGAAAATGCTAAGGCAGTGCAACGGGCATGGCAGGAGGAGTTTCACAAAAAGAACTTTCCGGACAAAAGGACCATAAAAATGGTAATCCAATTTTCGACTTTTCACAATGCTTCGTTTTGTTCTTCCCCTTACCCTATGTCATCAAAAACGTGTTTCAATCCTCTTCTTTAGGCTGTATGACAAGTTCAAACGCACTGGATGGTGCAAGACGATGAAAAAAGCAATTGCCACGACCACTGCTTCTGTGGCCACAGGCAAAGCAAAAGAGCGAGTTGACGATTATTTTGCTGTTAATCACTTACTCATGCACTTAAACTCATCGCTCGGTAACGAAACACACTCCTATAGAATTGCCAATTCTAATGATCATGCAAATCAAGTTTGGGTTCAATTGTTCGCAGCTAGCACCATCTATTAGATTGTTTTTCAAACATTACCCGCTGGGCCACCCTGTAGAAATTGGAAACAAAATTGTTTCTTTTCTTTTTTAAAATTTGCTAAAAAAGCAAATAAAATTTGTTTTAAGTTACCCTTGAAGATGTTGTAATTATATGCATTTATTTTCATCCTTAAAGCTTAACTTAAAAATAACATCTATATCTTATTAAGTCTGTTGTTCATTCACAAAGCAATTTTAGTCTGCCGTTTTTTTCGCTTCTCGCGAGTGCATGTCAAAACGCGGTAGAATACGTCCCTCTAGCTTACTTATTTTATTTGATATGTTACCGCCAATGTACAATAACGCTGGCATTCTATAGGATACCTAAATATTTTATGGAATGCCGGGCGTTTTAAAACAAAGTATGGAATATGAGAATTATTATATACTCTCCCTAGGCATTCTATATAATGACAAATACTATTTAGTCAAAGTATGAAAAAGGTCATGATAAGGCTATTATTTAAAAGACATGTATTCCCCAAAAATTCAACTGTTACTCTAAAAAAAACTTTTGTTCAAAATACGTCAAGAAAAATGAAAGTTCTACAAAATGCCTAACTAATTGATGGTAAAATGCAGCATTGAACAAGGTTACACGATCATGTGTTTTTCTAACAATGCCACTCGGGAAGTTATATTCTAAAAGTATGGGAAAAATATACTGAATTGTATAGTGCACTATTCAAAAATTTTGGAGAATAAAACTAAAGATATGAATAAGTAAATTTCCTTAGGTTTCGGTCTCTCAAATTTTTCATAATTTTTTTTCAAACATAAAATGACCTTGGTGCGTTGACTTATCAGACACCTTATGACTTAGCGACTGGTGTAATATCGAAGTTTGGAGAGGGGGTTGGCAGTTCAGTAGTCGTTCTTTCAATTTACCGCGGTTAAAACTTACCAGATCCGTAACAAAGTACCCCTCGTGTAGCTTCAAAATGGACTTTAAACTAACTAAACTGAACTAAAACCTTGTTTAATCCTTTGAAATGCAATCAGTACTTTTTTGAACAGTAATTCAAACCAGCCAGTATTTACGGAAAATATTCTTTAATTTCATGCAATTTACCCTATGAGTATGGAAACATGTGCATTATGAACTTTGTACAAGAATGTGTTCATAAGGCATACCTGAAACCATTTGAGGTGTTCTCTAGGAATGTGTGGTTAGGCAGGGTTAAAGCGATCAACAAATTAATACATAATAATACAATACAAATTAATACATTAATACATACATAATTAATACATACTGTAAACGCTCATTTTTTGTTATATGTCCAGATATATGGGGCACTATGTAGTACTTAAAAGTGTCCCAATGAAAAATATAGGGCAACATGCTTTACTCATTCAACCATGAGACAAAATCAGAAGGTGACAGCTATACATATATACCTAGACACCAACTTTATGGCCTAAGCTGTCACCGTTTAGAAGTTAAGGGGGGCGTAACGGATACAAGTGGGAACCCTGTATAACAAGCAGAGTTGCAAAATGTCTTATTGACAGAATAGTCGTTACTACATCTATCTAAATCATACACATTTGAAATTTTTCAAAATGAACTCACCTTTGCAATCATGTTTGGTTTCGATATCGGATGCTCACAGCGAGATGACGGGTCAACGCTTCTTGGCCGAGTTTTTATACTCGGTCTTCCGGAGTATGTTCAAGGACGAAAATCACCGAATATTTAAAAAGGGTGCGGTGACTTCTTTAATTATGCGTATCAAAACAAGATATTCATTTTTTATCTTGTTGCATAACTAGAATAAGAAGTTACGTTAATTACTGGAAAAGAGAAAGTTGCTTGGTTGGAACCAGTCTGATCCAGTTCCAAAACGAAATGAAATTATGGTAATTACGACCTTCTGTTGACAGCTAGCTTTCTTGGTGGTTGCGTTTATTAATCTTAAATGAATCTGATAGAGGAAGCTCTTTATAAAATCTGAATAAGAGCTTTTAGTATGCGAATTTTTATTTTTGTAATCTCCTTGAAAGATTAAAAATTGTTTCGAATAAATTTCAATTGAAATATTTGCAACAAAACTCATCATCAGCTTGTTATAATATGTTTGCGAGCTTCAAATAAGCAACGGGTCCAGCTTCTGTGGTGATTCTTTCTATTCATCTTAGAAAAATTTGATAGAAAATTCTGTATAAAATATCAATAATGACTTTTAATAAAAAGTAATTGTTTTTAAAATATGTAGTTATATAAGTATTTTATTGAAAAACCATCACTTTTGATACAGTTATTTAGAGTAAAACTCGGTAGAATACTTACATGAAACTCGTGATTAACTTGTCATGAAATGTTTCATCAATTGAGAGCAAGAATTTTATTATAAAGTAATTCCATATTAATTGTCAATTACTGTAATAATTTACATAAACTGAAAAGAGGCTACACTATCTTTTCCTTTTGAGAATTGTTTCGATGATCGAAAATTCATTGATGAATAAAGTTAAACTATGTTTCTGTCAAATTAAAAATGCTGAACAATCAATATTATTCTTATAAGCATTGGAGTTAGAAAATTATGTCTAAATGAATTTTTGTCATATTTTATGTATGATATTTGAATATAATGAATGACAATTTTGAATGAAATATTTTAGTTAAAAATATTATTGAGAAATATGATGATATTTCTTTTTTTAAATAAAAATTTGATCTATTGATAACAAGAATTGATACCAACGCGAACCTGACAAGTTATTAACTCTTATTTTTCCTACAAATTTTTGTGTATTACTTTTAACAAGATGGTCTTTTTTATATGCGTCTTAAAAATAAATAAATTATACTTCATAAAATGGTCGCTTTGTGTGCTTTACAGTAAATAACAATAGGATGAAACTTGAAAGAAAATGCAAAAGGAGCAGTTTATTTCCTGCTGGCTTGTGTTAAGCTTAAAACCCTTTGGGTAAGCTGGGTTGGAGTGGAAAATAAAAAATAAAAACTAAACAGTTATGCAACCATTTTTATTATTTATACTTGCTCAAAACATATCTTAGTGGGCTGGGGAATTCTTAGGCTTATTAATTAAAAATTATATATACACCTGCTTATATAATTCAAATTTTCTAACAGAATCTTGATATATATTTTGATATTATATGAATGAATAAAAAACAAGCTAACTATACATAAAATGATGATACTCATAAGCCTGTCGAACAAATCATTTGCAGATCATTTCCGACGTCTAATTTGTATGGTAGGTATATAACAGAGAGTAACAACTGAGCATTCAATGATAAATGTTTAGTATGTAGATCAGCCAATGATAGACGTGTCATAAAATCGTGACTTCTGCTTTGCTATGAATATTATGATATTCAGTATAATAGAGTCAATAGAGTTCATTGAGTCTTGACTCCCCTTCAATTTTATTTTAGAATTCATTGCACATCTTTCAAAAAGAATAATTATGCGACATCAACGCTCAGCGAAAAACAACATACTGATTGATGTTAGATTATGTTATGTGAATTGACTCCTTCTCATTGCTTTTTTTATAAATAATCATTTACACTTAATTGTTGAATGTGATTAAATTATGCCCGTTGCTCTTACTCATCTGCTTTTTTGTAATTAGTAAGAGACAAGCATACATATCTTTCAGAAGAGGAATTAAGAAAAGTAGCCCATAAACATATCACCAGTAAATGCTCCTGTGTTAATAAAGGACTTTGAATTCTAAGGGATTTAATGTAAAGATGTCATTAAATATAAATATAGTAATAATTCGTATAAATATCAAAAGAATTGGATTTAAAAATTAATAAACTTTTCACATTTTTTCTATCCAAAATGTTTTTATGAAAGTTTGCTCTTCTGGTCTGAAAAGAGAAATCATTTTAAAAGTTCTCTAAAATAAATGCCATTTTCATAGTTGTTAAATCAATCAGCAATCCCTTGTTTTTATTAAGGATGCATTTAATATGATTCTGAAGTACAAAGAATGAATTAAACGTATATTTAAAAGAAGCTGCAATAACATTTATGTAGCTAATAAGATATTTATATAGTTTTAGAAGTTATTTGGACAAGAAGTTTTAGTTTAGCTCTATTAACGTCCTGATTTGAAGCAACTCGAAGGCTATATTGGGACGAACCTCATAATTTTGAACCGCGGTCAAACGACGGGAACGACACCTGGATTGCCACCTCCATCTCCAAACTTCCACACTACACCAGCCACGTACACTTGTTTGGCCACTAAGTATGATTTAGCGTGAAGCAGAGCCGTCTATACACTGCTTATCTTCAGCGGAATCGGGTTTGAACCTAGAACCCTCTGGCCCTCGACCCAGAAACCTTACCACTAGGCCACCGCCATCCTGGTTGCGCAAGAAACGACAGAACTGCGTAAATCGGTGGTGATCAGTATTGCAAAGAAAATTTTTCCCTACATTTATGAAGGGAAGAAGATATTTACTTTACACCCGTGGAAGTTTTTGTGGGAAATCGATAAGTATTCCTACAATTATTACTTTAAACATGCATGAATTCATATTAGGTCTTAAAAATTAAATTAAAGTCCTATTAATTTACATTATGTTCTCTCATTTAGATCAGTATTATTTAAAACTTTATTTACAGAAGAAGAATTTAGAGCAGAAGGTTTCCAACCGATTTATAAATAAGTAGGGCAGTGGGAAGAGTAATCTGTTTAAAAGTACAGTCGGCCTTTGAAGGCCATTTCATGCATCTAACACAATATCTCCCTTTTAGAATGATTAGTTTATTTTGTAAACAACATCGGTACTTTCAATGCTATCCTACCGGTTAAAAAAGGGCGGGGTCAGGTACTGACCTCTAAAAACGCCGATCAAGATCACTCACAGATCACGTGTAAAGTTCTATACAGGAACATTTCCATCAGAGATATGGGTATATAAACCCATTTCTAATCATCAATATCATTCTCAGTTTAACAGCTGTCTCCACAACTTCGACAATGATCGCTAAGGTAAGAATCACTTTTGACTGTTGTTTCGTTTTCCGTACTTCACCAATTCCCTGTCTTAATTCTGATTCTATGAGGTAAATATTCCTGAAATAATTATCTTATAAGGAATATGTTACGCTTAAGACTTTATTTCAGACATAGGCGAAATTTAATAATAAATAAAAATGTAGTGTAAAATTAAGTAGAATAATATGGAGAGTTCTTTCTTGTATACCCTCCACAAAAGGATTTTTTATATATAATGTAGGCGTTCTAAAATGACGAATCCTACTATAACTACTTCTAGCTACTATAAACAAAAATTATATAAACCTTCTAAGAGATATTATTTTAAAATTCTTTTCAATAATGAGAAAAATTCCACATTACAAGCTGAAGTATTCATAAGTAAAGCAAAGAGTGAATCTGAAAGGTGGGTGAAATCTCTAGTTAGAAAGCAAGGGCAGAACATATGTCTGTGGACATATTTTAAGAAAATTTAATTTGAAAGAAATAATTTTATAATCTAAATTAATTATTTGAGTACAGCGATTAAATTCACTGGGCAGAGTGGACACGTGACATAAATAAACGAAAAAAGGAAAATATACATTATTTATTTTCATTTAGTATGCAATGCACATGCTAAAACTTGTGTAAATTTATCCCATTTTTGTGTAGGTCCCTAGAAAGAATAGAAAATTGAGAACGTGTTCAGGCAAAGTATCTTTCACTTGTAAAAGAAAGGAGATACTCCTTTCTTCTGATGGATATGCTCTAAAATATAACACAGATCTAACAGTTTTTACCGAAATTTTATACTACATTTGATGTTTGTGAGGTTTAGTGTTCATATAAACATAGGCAGATGGACGGATAGGCAGGCTAAATTGCAGAATTTGGTTATTGGACTCAGGGGGTGGAGATATATCAAAATTTAGTGGTCAAATATTTTGACAGCTACAATAATTTTTCTTGGCCTAGTTCTCATCCAGAAAAGAAGAATGATTTAAGGTGAATTTCTATAGACTATACAAGTTGAGAAATAAATATTTGATATGAGTCGAATTATTTGAGATGTAATAGTCAGGAAGTTTATGTATATTGTATTTAAAGATATCTTATTAGATATTACTGGATTGAGTTAATATGCAATTAATTTTTTTGCTATAAAAGAATGATTTGGGACTTTAGATTAATGAATCATTTAGCCACTTCAGAGAGCATCAATTTTAAATCAAAAATCTTCTTTTCAATTTCGCCATTTGGGGCATAAAATGCTTCCGTAATTAAGGAGCACAAAATATTAAGAGTCGAAAATTTTTATCTATATATTTTCAAATAAAAATATGTTTTTAGAATTTTAAAGCTAAATTCTGTTTTCTTATTATCTTAACTGAAAATTTTCCAAAAATTTCAACTTTAAAATTAGAGCTTTCTCCATAATGATAGATGATGTTCTTCTGAGGAACACTGAAAAAAATACTTCCATTTTACGGTATTTTAGGCGAACCCACTATCTATTAAGGATTTGTATTGGAGTTAAAATAATGCTTGAATTCCTTTGCATGTTGTTCTGCATATAAATGTCAATGAATTAGTTTAACCATTTGAGTATGGCCAGTGATGCAATTAGAAAAACAATTCTTGAATTTTGTTATGACATAATAATTATTATTAAAGAATTTGCTTTTTAAATGTGTTACACATTTAAAACAAGTTTCTTATATCGAAAGAACCCGATCGTTCACTATTTTTAATAATATATCTGGTTAATTTATAATAATGCTTAAGATATTTAACTGACTCTGAAAACAGCTATGGAGAAAATAAATTTTTATTGAATACACTAAAGACTGAGTTTGATCTAAACCAGAGAAATCAACGCAAAACTGAAAAACAAAACAAAAGCTGTTTATCGATTTCAGAAAAAGTTCTGAAACAGACTGATGTGAAAGATTTTTGTACAAGAACATATTGGGAAAAACAGAAGCTTATGAAGATGTTCTATACATGCTGAATATTGCACTACGAATAAATAATTCTATATCTTTTCTTATATATGGAATCAACCATCTACATTTTAATAAAAGCCCTATGGCGACACTGTTATTGGCCAGTTTAAAAATAATTTATGTTCATCTCATAAATTTATAGTTTTCCTATTTATAGGTTGCTCTCCTCCTCGCTGCTCTTGCAGCTGTCGATGCCACTGTCTGGACTCCCGGACTCTTGAATGCCGGAATCGTGGGACCTGCCGCAGTCTCCACCGGATCCGTAGTCGCCATTCCCGGAGCAGTGACCACCGATAAGAGGGTCATCGGAACCACCGGACTCATCGCTGGTGCTCCCCTCCTCAGCTCCGGAATCATCGGAAACGGACTCCTCGCCAACGGCCTCATCGGTGCTCCAGTTCTCAACAGCGGTCTCATCGGAGCTCCTCTTCTCAACCCTGGCATCATCTCTCCCATCGGCGCTCCTCTTCTCAACTCTGGCATCGTCTCTCCCATCGGTCTGAAGAGTGCCGGAATCCTCGCTGCTCCCGGTGTTGTCAAGACCATCCTGTAATTCATTTCTTAAATGATGCACTTCGAAGAAGTTCAATGCAATGAAACTTTTCTTATTCCTCTCTCTTCTTATTTAAATAAACTTTGATTCTGGAATATTTTCTTGACTGTTAATTTTTTCTGAGCTCTTAGCGTATGCATCTTTTAACGGTATTAATCCATTCCCATTAAATTAAGAAATGTAAAAAATTTAATTGGAAAATTGCTTTCTTTTCATTATTTATTTGAAAGTTTGTTTTCTAAATGATTTATTCTTAATATCTTTTAACTACTGTGTTTCCTGCTGCTTTATTTCCTTATCAAAATCAATTATTGAAACTAGAAATGATAATATCCCATTTAAAATATTTACATGAACGAACATATAATTAGTCTTAACATAAACATATGTGTGTGGGAATCTAGTATTTTAAATTAAAATATGTATTAACTCTCTTTTAACACAAAGAAAATAATTTAATAAAATCTTCCGTTTCCATTTAAAAAGGCAGTTAATCAATGAAATTAATCTTGGCATCAAATTTTCGTTGAATAAACAATATTTGTATGAACTACCAGCAGATCGAAATTATATGCAGAAGCAATGATTTAAAGTTCCTTAGAGCTGAGCTTGTTGTTGATACGTAAAGAATTCTTTACTTTGAATTAATGAAAACTCTTTGATACATGTATCAAATGTTGGAATAGTCACCTGCTTACTAAGGTATTTTTAGCATGTTTGCACTATACAATACACTAATGTGTGTGTGTATCAGCTTCTAAAAACCAATAACCACAATAATTTCAAATAGATAAATGAGTTATAGTTTTAAAATTGCATTGCATTTAATGAAATGGTTAGTTTCTGAACTTAAGACATTCTACATAGGATTACCTTATTGATATTTATGTAAGGGTGTATAGTAGCACACAAGTTTGATTGTTGATTTTTCAAATTTTTAAATCAAATTGTTAAAGTTAAAATATCTCCAGATTATAATTAATTTTATAGCGTAATATATGAAAAAACATAGTTTGCGTTTATTGTGAGTTTGTTTTTTTAAATTTTGTCTTGTCATCAACTGAAATAAGAAGTCACCTGCCAAATATATGTCCAATAGTTGACATGGAATGCTTCAAATTTTTGTTTCGTAAAACTATAATTATGTTCTCATTAACCAACTGCGAATACAATCAGAATATAATTTTTTATCATTTCCTTTTCTAATAATTTTCTAATATATACCAATAGTATCATATGATACAGTAGTTATGTTCCTTAAAATGTGTTACATCCTCTGTATGCGATATAAAGTACTAGATTAAAAAAATATACAGCAGAAAAAAATAAAGGAACAACTATAATACTCATGTAATTCGAATGATTTTGCAGCTAAGAACTTAAAACTTGCACATGGTATTTATTTAGTTAATGCGTGACATATCTTCAAATTGTAGGATTACGTACATCTGCAAAAAATTAATAGTATAGGAAATATGATGTAAGGTGAGGTAGGAAAAAGTTGTTGTTACCAATTAAAAACAATTAAATTTTCGTTCAGCCCTGACCAAAATGCAAGCTTTACAGCGATTTCCCATGCCAACTATTTGATTGTCCATGACTGCCTCCTGTGATAAAGTACATTACGATGAATAGCGCCTTGAAGCTCCTAAAGGGTGCTTGGTGTGAGATTCGGTGATGTAAATCGGCGTCTAATCTTGTCCTACTCATATTCTATCTGATTTAAATTCAAATAATATGTGGGCTTACTTCACCCCCAGAATAATGGGACACTAGTGCAGTGCGATGGGAAAGCACACAAACCCTTTCGACCGACTT